ATATATATGTATATATATCCTCATAATAACTCGAGAACAAAGAAGTGAATTTGTAAACAAAACAGGAAGCCTCTTTCGCAAGCTTGGTGAAGAGGTGGAGGAGTCAATTAGCTCAAGTAGGAGAGAATTGAGACAAGGTGGAGATCATTGCTGGGATTATTGATTCAAATCCTAATAAGCAATAATATTTGTTCGGAATTGCCTTAATTAAAAAGTTGTTTGGTACTCAACTCTTTTGTTTGGTAAATAAGTTAAAGGGTATTTGGAAGCTATATATATATATATATATATGTTTCCAAAACCATATTGAGTGTCCAGTTTCTAAATGGTACGAAATTTTAACAATGAAGTATTTTATTCTTTGATAAATGCCCTACGATTTGAGGTAGAATAAATTTGTGCTCTGATATTTGAAAAGATAAAAACATAGGATAGTTAACTATCATATTCTACACCTCATTGGGAAAATTTATTCCGCCTGAAATCACAAGATGCCCTTTTTGTTATTGCTATTAGAAGTTGTAAAAATTAGTTAGCATTTTAACCAAAGGTAACATTGGAAACAAATTTTTTATTATGGAAAAGTGCACCTTATTTTCAAGTATCCTAAAATAGAAATTAGAATGGAAAAGGTATCAAACTAGAAGGAGATCAGTGTGTGAATAAAATAAGATGCGAGCAAGATAGTGTAGAAGAGACCCAAACTATAACCCCAGTAAGAAGGTAGAAATTAAACTATTTAGCAATAAGAATGAGAAAGCATTTATAATAAAGGAGTTACGAGTGAGATATGTCAGACCTTGATCATCTGGCAGAGGGAGGGCAATTCTTTGAAATAACTCCCAGCTTCTTGCCTCATTCAGGCACCGTGGTTCATGTATATAACATCTCGGATCTGCGTGCCTGGCGACTTCTTTCTTGCGAGTGGTAAGTATTATTTTACTACCTGTGTCCTCGGTTGGGAACCCAGCACTCAAGATTTTCCAAGCATGCACATCCCAGATGTCATCAAGCACCACCAAGCATTTCTTCTTCTGTAGTTCTTTAAAGACCATCTCGGCTATGTCGTCGTCCCTCATTTTCTCAATCTCCTCTCGCTGCTCCTTACCGACGTTAATAAGCTTGAACAAAATTTGTTCCCAGGTACTCCTCTTTTCCCATTGTTGGGATATATTTAACCACACAAAGTGATCAAAACGTTGTCTAACTTTGGCATGATTGTAGATCTTCTTAGCGAGGGTGGTCTTTCCTATACCGCCCATGCCACATATCGAGACAACCCGATGCTCCTTAAAGTTATCGCCTTGGCTAGTCTCTGCAGAGCCACCCATACAACACCGCCAAACACTTCCACGACGTTCTTTACCCACCAATTTTTTCACCAATAAATTTACATCTTCCTCAACTCCAACAGGATTTTCAGGAATGTGAGGATAATTCTTCCGGAGGCTTGAACTTCTCTTCGGCTTCCGGTCAATCGCAGAATTGGAGCCCTCTGGGATGGGTAATTCCCTTATACCAAAGGTTTTCAGACTCTTTGTCAATTCAGAAATCCGGACATTGATGTCCTCCAGCTTTGAACCAAGATTGTACTTTGTTTTTACTTGGTTCCAGATTGCAAATGTTGCACCAGCTTTCTTCGTGGATGCAACTTCGAGGGCGAGGCTTTCAACGATGTCTTCTATATCGTAAGCGAGAATTTTGATCTCCGCCATCCAGTTTCTTATTCTCTCATCTTTGTCTTGCTTTGCATATGCATCTTTCAAGAACGCCTTCATCCACTGCAGCTGAGCCTTTACGTGATTGAATTCTTGGCCAACGCCTTGGAAGAATTTCACTTCTTCTATTAGGAAATCGCCAAGCCTCTCCAACGCGTTAGAAATGATAAACTCCGCCATGGCACCCTTTCAAGGGAAATGTGAGGAACGCAAGGAATTGTAATCTTTGCTTATTGATTAGTATTTTTTTGGGCAAGTTAAATGGCGAGTGGTATCATAATTCTTGCAAGGACTACTCTGTCATCAGCAATAAAGGCCCTAAAAGCGACGACTCGAAGGTTGTAAGCTTTACATTGGCCTGTTGACTTAAACAAGATTTATTTAGATATTGTTTATTATTTTTTTTATTTTTTTACCAAGTTATAAAATGTTGACAGTTTTGGTTCACAAAATTGTATTGGATAAAATAAAATAATTATTTTATAAGACTAAAATAAAATAATTAATATATAATTTGCTTAATAAAATAAAATAGGATAATAACTCATTTTGATGCTCAGTTGATAGAAATAGTTTTATAATAGATCAGAAATAAATAATAAAATAATAAATTACTTTTTATTATAATCTAATAAATTAAAAAAATTACCCATTATTATATCTTTAATAATATTTTTTCTTTTTAAATTTTTTAATTTATTTTCATTAAAATTTTAATTATTAATAATTTATTATTAAATTATTAACATGAATTTTTATTTCAAATTTTTTCATTTTTCTCTATTTGTATTTTCATTTTTTAATTTTTTTTAAAGTTTAAACATTAGTTATTGATTATTAAATTATTAATATAAAATTTTATTTTAATTTCTTTTGACCTTTTATTTGTAAATTGTAATTATTTTCACTAAATAAGGATATTTTTATCCAATAAATTTTTTATGCTGTTCATAGTAATTGAGTAACGTGCAAGGACAACTTAGGCATCAGCAATAAAGTGCGAGGACTTACACATCAATAAAAACAATGACGACTTCAATGTTATAAGCTTTTCAGTGACTTGTTGATCTAAAGAAGACTTAGTTAGAGATTGCTTATTATTATTATTTTTTTTTTACGAAGTTATAGAGTGTCGGTAGCTTTAGTTCACGAAATTGAATTGCATAAAATAAATAATTATTTTGTAAAAATAAAAAAATAAAAAAATAATTATTATGTAAATTACTTCACAAAATGAAATAGGGTAAAAATTGTTATTATAATTTTTTTTATGTTTAATTGATAAAAATAATTTAAAAATAGTTAAAAAATAAATGTTAAAATAACAAAATTACCCTTTATTATAGTTTAGTAAATTAGAAAAATTACTCATTATTATAATTTAATAATATTTTTCATTTTTAATCTTTTAATTTTATTTTCATTAAAATTTTGAAATACTAATAATTTATTGTTAAATTATTAATATGATTTTTTATTCCAATTTTTTTTTTCTATTTGTATTTTCATTTTAATCTTTTATTGAAAATTTAAACATTAATAATTTATTATTAAATTATTAATATAAAATTTTATTTTAATTTCTTTTTATATTTTTTATTTCTAGATTATAATTATTTTTAATAAATAAAGATATTTTTGTTCAATAAATTTTTTTTCTATTCATAGTCATGGCATAATGTGCTCGCACTAGGTCATCAGCTTCAAGGTTGTAAGCTTTCCATTAACCTAAAAAAGACTTATTCAAAGCCAGACGGCGTCTGAGTCTGACTTCTTTGTACATAACTTCTAACTATCCATGGACATAATATTTACTATTAAAATAATAAAATACTTTATATTCATATTTAATGCTTTTAAATATATTTTTTGAATATTGGATTTAAATAAAGTACATATTTAATCGATGTATAGTTGATTAGAGTTGTTCATGCACCAAATGATCAGCTCATCCCATTAGGAGCAAAGGCATGCACAACATAAATTTTTTGCAATTAAAGATAAAAATATTCTAGAAAATATGATTAACAGGAGACTCATACGTATGCTTTAAAACTTCTCGGGGTCTCCACTTGTGCACAAAGTGACATGGATTTATATCCTTCATAGAGATTTCAATTATTTAGAGCTCCGTTTTCTTTGACCCCGCTTAAAAGGAGAAGGGTAAAAAGAGTAGAAAAGAAAACACAAGGGAAAAACTAAAATTACAATATCAATAAAGACTAGTAGCCTTTGTTTGTTCGGCCCACCACACTCACCGACAAGAAGGGTCACAGCGCATAAACAGAAAGACCCCACTCTCATAAATCAGCTTCTTTTCTTGTCACTTTCCATACATATTTCAATTATTTATAATTACATGACATGTTACTTTGGGTCACGACTCAAATCGAAAGTCATGACCTGTGCACAAGTCAGCTAGACAAGACTTGCGAGACTCCAGCAAGTCTCAAAATTGAAACAATCACATAACATATACCTAAAGGTTCTCATATCAAATATATTTATAATATAATTAAAATTTAAATACACATAATGTAACATTCCGTACTCAGATATGGTGACTAATAGAGCTTATCGGATACCAATTGAGGTTAGTTAGAGTGTTTAATAGTAATGAAGGGTGAAAAGAATAGTTTAGAATAAAATATTTCACACATGAGAATATAGTAATTAAATAATAATATTTTTATCAAAGATAAATTAGCAAGTTAAAAGAGTGAATCGGAGGTGAATCGGAACAAAATTAGACATTTTGAATCTCGATGAGACAAGTAAAAAATTTTAGA